ACTTTATTGACATTTGTTGAGACATTTATTTTAAAAGATATATCATCTGTTTCACAGTAATCCTGAATTTTTTTTTAATGTAAATTGATTTTATGGAGTCACCTTTTCATTTGTAATTCGAATCTTCTGTGTTCTGCCCAGCCTCAGTGGCTCAATGGTTGAGGATCGACCTAAGAACAAGGAGGTCACGGTTCAGTTCCAGGTCAGGGCACATGCCTGGGGCTATAAGCTGGATCCCCAGTGTGGGGCATGCAGGAGGCAGCCAATCAATAATTCTCTCTCATCGTTGATGTTTCTACCTCCCTCTCCCTTTCTCTCTGAAATTAATGAAAATATATTTTAAAACATCTTCCATATTCTTACTGATTTCTTTCTTCTTATTATTCTATCAGTTACTGAGAGAGGACTGTTAAATTGTCTGCTGGCAATGGGAGGCCAATTTACTTGGGACAAATCCTTCCAGTAAAGCTCAAATGAGATCCCCTGAAGGACTCCCAGCCCACATCTTTGCATGCCAACCACCTCCTACTTCTGCAGCTTCCAGAGTGGGTCGACTGCAAGCTTTGAAACAACACAATCGAGTGCAAAGGCTCTTGATGTTCTTTAGGGCACCAGGGGCTTAATGAGACTATTCTATCAACCGGGTAGCCACAGAGGTTTTTCTCACTGCTTCTTTTTTCTAACTACTCAGCAGGAAACAGTTCACTGATTGTGTCCTAAGGCAATCACCCCTGCTCGTCCAGGAGAACACTAGGATCTGTCCTCTTTCACCCCTCTCCATGAACACTCTTTCTGTCCAGTGCCCTTCCCCAACCTTATTCCCCATGGACCCCCGTATTTTAAGCACATCTCTGGCCGCTGGCACAAATGTATTTTAGAAAACTCAAGCACAGAGGCATTCGAGAATGAGATCTGTATATCTATTTGCAATCAACTCACTGAGTGAACTTGGATAGATTCAGCCACTCATCTATGCCTGTTTGTTCTCCTTTGTTGAATTTGTCAAACAATACTTGTGCTCTGCAGCTTTTGTGGGTATGATAACAGGGATCAAAAAGGAAAACTTGACAAATTAGGACACGCTAAGGTCATAGAGCTTACTACCAAATTCATGATCGAACCTTGTTCACAACTTCTATATTTGATCTGTCAAGGAGGAAAAATAACTTTTCCTTTTAGGTATCTCAATTTTTCATCATCCCTCAAGGTAGGACCAAGCATCTCTTCTTCCAGGAAGTCTGATCCCATGGCCCATAGTAACTCCTCTGCCTTCTACACCTTAAAGGACTGAGCACAAATCCCATTCATCTTTCTTAGCATGCCCCATCCTGGTTTCTACTTACTTGCATCATAAGACTTCACCCTTCCTTGGGTTATATATGCAAACAGATAGAATTAGTGACACCTCTACTCACATGGAGTAGCCCTTGTCACAAGCTTGGGCACACGGTAGGCTTTCTATAATCCTCTGAAGGTTGCTTACTCTTTCTAGGAGCACTTACATTTGAAAATGTCCCCGTTGTATCCCAAGTGATTGAATAGACAATGGTAACCAACTAGACGTTGACTAAGAAGAGAATTTGGGGAGGCCAATGGCATTTTCTTTCCATTCAAGACCAGTGGTGCCGCCACCTTTAAGTAAGGTTGCACTTCCAATCTGCTAGGATCACAGCCTGAGACAAGAGGAGAATGGCTGCACCAAGGGATCTCCAAAGGACAATGCTTTCTACAGCCATAAGAACATCTACATAGAAGCAGTTTCCCCCAGGATTTTAGTCAATACACAAAAAGAGATGGAGGCCAGGAATCTTGGCTAAGGAGATCAAGCCTCGAAAGGCAAGAAGGCAAAGAGATCTGTAGTGGGAGGCAGGGGTTATCCTCTCAGGTGGGGAATAGAGGGCAGCAGTCAGTTCTAGAGCTATTAAGGGAGAACCGGAAGTTCTGGGTTACTGTCACAGCTTATGTGTCAAGAAATTGAGCCTGACAGTATAACCACTCAGGGAAGAGGTTTGGTAAGTAGAAGAAACATTGCCCTGGGCCCACTCCCTCGTCCGCAGCTGGGGCAAGAAGACGATCCTACTTGAGGTCACACAACAGTCTCCCAAGGCCTCCCAGGTATCCTCCAACTCTCTCTGAAGGTTTAAGGGTTTAACAGTGGGCACCATGTTGCTGATTTTATTGCCCGGACTGCTGCTCTCTGAAAGTTTCTCCACAAGTTGCCACAATGTGGAGAAACACGTTTCTTTAATTATAACGGATTCTCCCAAACCTGGGGGTAGGGATGTTTTATATGGTTTAGGAGATGCCCACACAAGGCTTCTCTCCTGGTGTTTTAAGTCCAGTAAGCAAAGAGACATAAATGTCAGACCTGGGGTTTGGATCAATGAGGTAGGCTTGCAAGTGGAAAGTGGGAACCCTGGGGCTAGCATAAAGAGTCGAGGGTCACCAGGTTGGATTGGATACTGGGACTGGGGAGGCATAGTCTCCTGCCATCCGTGTCCCCAAAGTTTGGGAGTCCACAGTCTTTGAGAACCTCGTGGTGAGGGAAAGATGCTTCCTAGAATCTACCAATTTCTTGGAGACATGCAGAATCTCCACAGATGGCATTGCAATGATGACCGTGCTGGAAAACAAATCAATTTCACTAAAAAAGAGATGTTGAAGGAAGCCAGGAAGGCTGGTCAACAACCTTAATTGCTCTAACCTTTAGTTGAGATATTATTAGCTGAAGCAGCCTCCACCTTGTTTGTCCCATGTAAGTTTCTGTTATTTCCTGCCTAAGGGCTACATGTAAATTTCTGTGTATGTTGCCTAAGATGTTTTCCCCAAATCCTCAATAAAAGGAGATGGCAGGGCCAGAGCAAGAGTAGTTCTCCCACTAGAAACACCAATCAGAAAGAATATATGCACCCCTATGTTCATAGCAGCACAATCTACAATAGCTAGAATCTGGAAACAGCCTACATGCCCGTCAGCAAAAAACTATGGTACATCTACACAATGGAATACTGTGCTGCCATTAAAAAGAAGGAATTCTCATCATTTGCAGCAACCTGGATAGAATTAGAGAACATCATGCTGAGTGAAATAAGCCAGTCAATGAAAGAGAAATACCACATGACATCACTCACTTATGGATATTAAAGAACATTATAAACTGATGAACCAAAAGATAGATATAGAGACAGTAAAGCAACAAGCAGACTGTCAAATTAAAGTGGGGAGGGTAGAGAGATCTGGGGGAGATAAGAGATCAACCGAAGGACTTGTATACATGCATATAAGTACAACCAATGGACACAAAACTCTGGGGAGGGAGGGTATGTATGGTGGGGGGAGGACAATATTAAAATATGTACACAGATAATAATTTAATAAAAAAAAGATTTTGATGAATGAATAAATGATAAGGTAAAGTAAAAAAAAAAAAAAAAAAAAAGAGTAGTTCTCCCACTAGAGTTGGACTACCGCCTGGCCCCCCATATCGCCAAGTTGAATTTCTTCAAAGTCTCAAGTCTCTTCATTTGTGTGTGGCCCTTCTCCAGAACCCAACCCCTAAATTGGAACTCTTTCCACACGGGTCGTGAAAGAGATTCCTACAGACCAATTCCAACTATAACTGGCATTTAGCATTTAGTTGCACACTCCTCCACCATGGGAACTTTGTGCAGTGTTTCAATATCAACTTTGATAAAACTGAGAAAAAAATACATGAGCAGCATCTCCCAGAAGGAGAGGTTTGTGGAGTGTGTGTGTGTGTTTTTGTGGGTTTTTTTGTTTTTTGTTTTTTTGTCACTGTTATTGGGACCTTCGGGCCCCAGGACCCACTCCATTGATTTCTCTTCCTCTCCCTGCCCAGCAAACTGAGTGACTCTTTGGTTCCTTGAGAAAAGATCCAGCTCCCACCCTCTAACAAACCAGTCACCATAAAGTTTCCCTCATAGAATTTGAGCTCAGAAAACACGAGTCCTGAAACCCAGTTCCCAGAACAGAGTCACAGTCTGGAGAAACACATGGGCAGGAAGGCCTACCTTGCATTCCCTGAAATCTCAAGGGTGATGTTACCCAGTTAAAACTGCCCAGGAAAGCAGAACTGACTGGCAGGAATGGTAGGGTACTGCAGACTCTGGAAGCTCAGGGTCCCCACTCTGAGGGCAGAAACACTCTCTCTAATGACAGATGCCAACTTCTCACCTGGGGAGGGAGAGGTGCTTATTCAATTGGACAGAGTGATGCAGAGGCCAGGGTATTAGATCTTGGTTGAGGGGTCTGGCTTTGCATAAGTAGTCTGCTCAGAGACTGCCATGGGCTCCCCAAATTCTCCTTTCTGTTGTTCTTGGGCATATAGGTAGCAATATTTCTTAGTCTCCTTTGCAAATAAGTGGGACCATCTGACTATATTATGGCCAACAGAATATGGAAGGAAATAATGAACTCCACGTGTAGACCTGGCCCTTAAAAACTTTCTCTTTGCGCCTCCATGCTGCCTTTCTTCTCCTATCTGCTGGCGGGGTACAGAGGAGACCCTGGGAGAGGAGGTGGAGCTATAGATAGATGGAGCCAGTATCCTTGAATAATGGTACACATGGCTGTTTACTGATCATCCTCAGTGAAATGTATTGTGAATGAGATCAATGCTTACTGTGTTAACCCCATGAGATTTTTATAAATGTATGTATTTTTGCTAAAGCCATGGGCTTACTTGCCTAATATCTATGTCTAACTGAAGGTAGAGTTGGCTGCCCATACCCATGATGGGATGGAACAACTGTTGGGACCATTGGGGATTATAATAAGAGAAATGGAGTCACATGGATAGAGTACAAAAAAAAAAAAAAAAAAAAAAAAAAGCAAAGGTTGGCATAACGGTTTATTTGGCCAAGACTTGAGCCTTCTCAGGAGAGAGAGGTCAAGGAGAGAACAGAGAGCAACCCGTGGATATTGCAACAGGGAGCCAGGCTTCACTCTTCCCAAACCATGGGGGCATCGTCCTGCCCCACTCATGCTGAGACAGCCCATTTCGGTTCCTTTAGCAGTGTTTTAAAGGGTTCTCTGGAAGAGAAAAGTTAAGTGGTAAAAAGTCATGGAACCTCAGTGGACATTCCCAACCTTAATAACATCCTTGGTCCCAGTTAATGGGAACAGACATTGTTTCTGTAAGATCAGGAGTTACCCACTTTTAAGCAAATTCACGCAAGAGGCTTGTCAATTGAGTGCAGAATGGGAGACCCAGGTGTCTTTGGGCTGGGCTGGATAAGGGGCCTGGCTGAGATAGGGGGCCATTGAAAAGCCAGACTAAGGCAGCAATAACCGGGGTCTGGGACAAAGGCAGGATAACATACTGATGGGTGATGTTTCTGGGGAACTTAATGAAAGTGGGAGCGGGGGGGAGAGTAGAGGCCCCCATGTTGGTATTTGGTTTACTTTGCAGTGAGTGGCAGCCTAGGTGTGGAGATCTGAGGGAATTGTCTTGTACTGCCCGCCTCTTTGACCAAGGATTTGGGTGACTGCAGTCTTCTGTTCCAGGTCACAGCTTCTGAATGGGAGTGAGGAAGCATACCCAGGCCCAACATTCCCTCCCCAACCAACTCACTCATTGTTCAGGCAGATGTTTCCACAGTAGGTCCAGCAGCAGGTATAATTTATTTGAAAACATATGTTTTTTTCATTGCATTTTAGGTCGCAAAACTTCAATGGAGGCTGTACCCAGCACTGCTTAATTTCTTTTATTTTAGCTGAAACCAAGATGATAGGAGTTGGCAGGGTCTATCCAGTCACAATCGGGTGAAGAAACCCTTCTCTAAAGTCTGGAATCTGAGCTCCAAGCCATAAAGTATTTCTCTGCCTTTCAAGAAAATCCCTGCCAGTGTCTGTTTAGAAAAGATTATCTTTCATGATGTGACTTCCATCTTTCCACATGCCCTCAGAGCACTGCAGGCTTTCAAGCCCTCTCTAAGCTCCCTAACAATAGGATCTTGGATACCCTCACCATGTCTGACACCACCTCATCAAATCTATTCTCACTTACTCTTAGGTTTTAAGACCTGTAATATCCTCTGGCTCCAATTTCCACATCCAATTTGCAGAATGGAAAACTGAGCTGGGGGAGACTAGGAACCTGCCTTGCCCCCTTTCTGTTCTCTCTTCTGGTTTACTTTTATTTTTCACTATATTCTCTTTGCTGTACTTTATATCCCTATGACAATTCTGTAAATACCAATTTGCACTTCTTAATCTTTTTATCTTTTTTACCCAACCCTCCTCCCATCTGGAAATATTTACATCAAAATATTCTCTGTATCTGAGTCTGTTTCCAGTCTGCTTGTTTGTTTCTTTTGTTTTTTAGAGTCCACATATAAGTGAAATCATATGGCATTTGTCTTTCTCTGCCTGCCTGACCTATTTCACTGAACACAATATGCTCTAGGTACATCCTGCTATACCACCTAAACATTAAGCCTCTCCCCAAATTTCATATCTTTTATTGGTCCACAATCTTCCCTCTCAGTCCTTCATTTCCCCCCCCCTTTTTTTTATATCAAAGACCCCAAACTTTGACTCACTAAGGACTTCTTATTTGTCTTGTCTAATTTTTCTTGCTCTAAAAGATTTTCCCCCTCAAACTGAACGAAAGTGTTAAAATATTACTCTTTTGGTATTCACCAAAGGGTCTCTCAGATCAGGCACAGAGATTCTAAAAATAGGGGCCCAGAGAAAAGCTCTGTGCTGGTGTTTCCGTTGCCCAAGGTGGCCTGGCATTGGAAAATATCATTTCCTGTGAGCTAATTAAATGTAGACAAAAACTACATTGCCTTTCCATATACCCAACATTATTCTCAGATCTGGGAGAGGGAGCTTGAAGGGGTGCCAGATTGGGAACTCCAGATTGGATGTTTCTGCTTTAAGAAGGGTTCTGATTCTTTGAAGGGTGAAACTGGAAATTGGACCCTGAATCAGTTATGCCGACTTCCCAAGCCTGGGCAGAACACCTTTCTCCCTCACCACACACCGGAGTTCCTGATGCCTCCCAGTGCAGGCAGAAGCATCACAATCCCACAGATGGACATTTTGAGTAGGACAACCCAGAGCTTCATGGTAATTTCTGGGTTAAGTTCTGGCACAAGACAAGTCTTCTCCAAATGCTGCTAGAGGTAGAAAAGGAACCAAGGAGAATAGAGTAGGAAAGAGAGAGAAAGTGCTTGTGAATATTGTGTAATTGTTTCTCCTACTTTTTCTTTTCACCCTCTGGCACCTAACAATGTATCAAACTAGCCTTTAGCTTCCCCTGACTACTTTCCCATTACATATAGCTTCCTTTCCAAATTATTTTTAAATGCATTGCTATTTTTCCCATTAAAAAGCAATAAATCTTCAAATTGTATAATTTCTAAGACAAAAAAAATACAAAGAGAAAATAAATAAGCATTAGGAATTCTACTATCCAGAGATAACCAGTATATGTGTATCCTTTAATCTTGTAGTCATTATTTTTATGAAAGTGGAATAATAGAACACATTGAGTATACTGATTTTTAACGAACGTATGTAACCAGATGATATAATTTAGTCAAGACCCTAAAATAAATGTTACCAAAGGGATTCCAGGGTGTGTGATGAGGTGGATTACTCAGGAGGACTTGAGAAAAGACGATGGCCAACAACTGGTTGAGGGACTCTTAAATCTTTTATCTACATAGATGGTGTAAATGCCAGATTTAGGCATGTGAATCATTGACTCATTGACTTTGAAGCAAATTTGGTTTAGGTGACTTGAGGAGAGACAAGGGTAAGAAAAGAAGACCATGGTGAGAAAATTCCTCAAAATATAAGAGATTAGTGGTTTGGGGGGCTATCACTCTGAGATGCTTATATATGACCTGCAACCTACTTCATTCAGAACCCACAACCTTGCCAACTTGCCTTGGCATAGCTTGATGATGGAAAACTGTCAAGTTAAGGTGTTTAAGTTTCATTTACTACTGGGCAATATTTACATCAAAGGATATAACTTAATTGGTGAAGCTCCAGGCCAAAGAACTATCTTTGAGCATCGTAGTCTTCCAAAAATGCTATAAATCACTTGCAATTTTTTTGTGCAGGAAAGCCCGTGAGCATAGACAGTCCTTGAGTGTGGCTCAGAGTGTTCTTCTGATCCTCTGAAGGCATCGGCACAGAGCAAGACAAATGTGCAAAGCAGATAGTCTGTTAACCATTTACAGATGAGGATATAAGGTCTGAGTTAACTGGATTGGGAGGACTTCTGGATTCTGGCACCTGCCTTTTGCATAAAGAAGGAGGAAGACTGGCACACAGTCACAGAAACACAACGATTCCAAAGCTGTTTATTGGTATTCAAAAATATCATTCTAGACTTCAGTTGTCCAAAGCTTTGAAATCTGTTTTTTTAAAAGGCCTCATGCTTAGTTCAGTTTTCTGAGTTTCCTACTTGCTCTTGAAGTATTATCAGGATGTGGGGATGCCAAAAACTCTTCTTTGCACAACTCAGATGTACTAAGTAGCCCCAGAGAAGAGAAACATTCTCATGCTCAGGCTGAGTACTACTCACATACAGAGTTCTGGGTGAATTCTTTAGCCATCCTGAGATAAAGTATAGACAATGAAAAGGTCTCTTAAGTATCACAAAAACACAGAACTACAGCTCCCCACAAAATTCAGGGTTTGGGGGCTTTCCAGATAATGTTAAAGGAGAGAAAGTGTTGAATTCGAGTCAGGAATGCTAATGTCTTGTTTCATCTCTGCCCTTTTTACCTATGGGACCTCAGGCAGGTCATATCACCTCTATTTCCATGTCTTATTTGAACAACAGAGACAATGATCCCACATCACAGGAATAATGTTGACATCGCCTGAGCAGAGAACTCATCCAAGCAAACCACAAATAAAAGTTTATGCCTCAAGACCCTTACCCCACCTACCTTTAAAGCTCTCTGAGTGTTTGCAGTAACTGGCTGACAGTTCTTTTAGCTGGACTCTTCTCACGTGGGGAATTAAAAGAAGGTTATGTCCTGGAACAAGGGGCACAAGAGCTGAAAAACAAAGATCAAAGGTCTGGAACTTAATGATTTGGTATTAGCAGATATGTACGTTCCACCCAGGAATTACATATTGACCATATCACCAATTATTTCCTTCACGAATACAGAAGTAATGGATTTTCTTTGATTTGAGTAATATCTCCTACTAAACTAGGAAGAACACTGTGAACTAGGGTTGCAGACACCCGCAACAGACTGCGTCTAGAGTCTTTATCTAATGCATGAGTCTATCCATAGGTTGGGAATGGAAGATGATCTGTATGTATCTGTTTTCCTTTGATTTGTGTAGGCAATTGAATGTCTCACTCTCTTCTGTATTGATTCTCCTTTGCTAATTAAAGCATAATATCTCCTGCCACCTGCAGTGTGGCTTTTATGTGGATAAAAAGAGACCAAATAGGAAGGACTTTAGAAAAGATAGATTTGGTTCACCAGATATCAAAGAGGAGCATTATATTGGGCAGATATACACAGGACTTGAAGCTCACTGGAAAGTAGAAGAGTCGAGGGGACAAGGGCCAGGGCACACACCTCCTTCTCCCAAACCTTGTCCACGGGTATGTTTTAAACAGACAAGAGATATTCATATATAAGTGATTTCCCCCCAGGCTTTGTTGGGTGTCTTGAGAATCAAGAAATATATGCCAGAATTCCAGAGACTTGGCTGAGGAGGGTGGACCAGTATAGACACAAAAGGCAGACTTTGGGGAACTAGGGACTGAAAATATTGCCAAACCTAAATAATTGAATTATGGATTTGCATGTATCAGCCTCATGCTTGTGTCTGGCCCAGAAGTTAGGGATTTTTGATGTTTTTTTTGAGGTGTACATACACTGACAAGTACCAAGGAGGCTTCTCTCAGGATTTCTGCTATTCCTGGTTCTGGATCACATATAAGGACCTGCAGAAAGCTATGCAGGATTTAGAACAATATCTTCTCATTTAAAATGCAGTGTCCTTGGGAAAAAGAGATAGAGAAGGACAAACAAATGGAAGAATATACTGTGTTTATGGATTGGTAGAATCAACATCATTAAAATGTCAATACTGCCCAAAGCAATATATAGATTCAATGCACACCCTATTACAATACCAATGACAGAGGCTGAGGGAGAGGATGGCGGCGCTGGGGGGACCTGTACGGCTGGAAAGGGATATCTGTAGAGCAATTGAATTGTTGGAAAAACTACAAAGGAGTGGGGAGGTACCACCACAGAAACTTTGGGCTTTACAAAGAGTCCTGCAAAGTGAATTCTGCAATGGTGTAAGAGAGGTATATGAATGTGTCTGTGAGACTGTGGACATCAGCAGCTGTCCTGAAGTGAGAGCTAATGATACGGCAAAGGCTAGTGTTGCTGCATTTGCTGCCAGTGAAGGACATTCTCATCCTCGAGTTGTTGAGCTTCCGAAAACAGAAGAGGGCCTTGGGTTCAATATCATGGGAGGCAAAGAACAAAACTCTCCAATCTATATATCTCGAATAATTCCGGCAGGAATTACTGATAGACATGGGGGCCTCAAGTGAAGAGATCAACTTCTCTCTGTTAATGGAGTGAGTGTGGAAGGAGAATATCACGAAAGAGCTGTAGAACTGCTGAAAGCAGCTCAAGGAAAGGTTGAATTAGTAGTGCGATATACACCTAAGGTCTTAGAAGAAATGGAGTCACGTTTTGAAAAAATGAGATCAGCCAAACGCAGGCAGCAGACATAATGCAGTTCAGAACTTTATATTTCATTTTGCTTTTAGCTAGAGAAGTTTTACTTGTGACCTACTGATGGCCGCAATGCCAATGATTATAAAGAAAAACAAACTCACCGGAACCGGTTTGGCTCAATGGATAGAGAATCTGCTTGGGGACTGAAAGGTCCCGGGTTCGATTCCGGTCAAGGGCATGTACCTTGGTTGCGGGCATATCCCCAATAGGGGGTGTGCAAGAGGCAGCTGATCGATGACTCTCTCTCTATCTCTCTCCCTTCCTCTCTGTAAAAAATCAATAAAAATATATTTAAAAAAAGAAAGAAAGAAAGAAAGAAAGAAAGAAAGAAAGAAAAAAAGAAAAGAAAAACAAACTTACCATGAAATGCTCCTTGCCACTTTATAAATGCCTATTTTAAAATCATTTGTGGTTCCAGAGATGCATACACTTTTTTCTGACAAGAAAAAGTAAAAGGTGATGAGGGCAATTTTGTCCTGCTCTTTTTACAGGCCTTTTTCAAATGCAGATTTTGTCATAAAGTTGTTATGGATTTTTAATAATGCTTTTTAAAAATTGCAGATGAGAAATAAAGTCATTGATAATTACGTGTTGTCTTAACATGGATGTTTTATCTGTTAGCAATATACTAGATTATAGTGGCCTAATTCTTTGGGGTTTAATAATTGAAATGTGGGGGTTTTTTTTAATTGTCTTATAAATTTTTAGAAATTATTTTGTTCAAATGCTTAACATAGTTTGGCTCAAGTACTTGGTTTACAATTTAAATGGATATTACAGCATTTAATGGAAGAAATGGTTATGGCTCAATGGATAGAGCATTGGCTTGGGGACCAAAAGGTCCCGGGTTCGATTCCGGTCAGGGGCATGTACCTTGGTTGCGGGCATATCCCCAGTAGGGGGTGTGCAAGAGTCAGCTGATTGATGACTCTCTCTCATCGATGTTTCTAACTCTCTATCTCTCTCCCTCCTCTCTGTACAAAATCAATAAAATATATTTTTTTAAAAAGAAATAGAATATTCAAAATGGATTTAAGACTTTTAATACATGACTTCATTTACCAATTCTGATTCTAAACCTTATTAAATTTGTATTATGTTATTTGAATTAAAAATTGATATAACTGTACAATAGATATGTTTCTGAAAGCTAAGTGTAAAATAACTTTTAAATGAGGTAAAAGTAAAATCTATGTGGGTTACTGGAATGAAACTTCAAATTCCTCCATTTTCCTTGGTCTTTCATAAAATATAACTACATAAAATATAAATGAAAATGAAAATAAAAATAAAAAAATACCAATGACATATTTCACAGACCTAAAGGGAATTCTCCAAAAAGAGGATGAAGAAAATGAAGAGGTTCATAATATATATGGTGACAAAAGGAGACTACTAGACTTTGGGAGTGAGCACACAATGAAATATACAGATGTATTATAGAATTATACACTTGAAACTTATGTAACTCTTAACTAATGTTACCCCCCCAAATTTTTTTTAAATTAAGAATTTATGAATAAAATGCTCAACATGATATTGTCTAGATAATCAGTAATGGCTACAACACAAATGACAATAGGTATTTATTTTAAATGAGAGTTATACAATTATGGAAAACCATGTTTTGTGAAACATTTACAGGATTAAATTATTGATAGGATGAGACAAGATGGGTAATAAAGGGTGGGTGATTCTGCCCACCAGTGTGGCTCAGAGAATGAGCATAATCCTATGAACCAGGAAGTCACTATCTGATTCTGGTCAGGGCACATGACCCAGTTGCAGGTTCAATCCCCAGAAGGGAGTGTACAGGGGGCAGCGGATCAATGATTCTCTTTTATCATTGATGTTTCTCTCTCTCTCCCTCTTCCCACCTCTCTGAAATCATTAAGAATATATTTTTTTTAACAGGTGGGTGATTCAAGATGTGAGGAAAACAGAATTGTTTATTTGGAATATGCAAACAAACTAAAAAGATAACACAGTTGACCCCTAAACAATATGAGGGTTAGGGGTGCAAACACCAAGACACTCAAAAATCCACTTACTACATTTGATTCCCCTTAGTTGGCCCTTAGCATCCACAGATTCAACCGATGGCAGATGTAAAACAGTATATTTTTTAATTCTGTGTTTGAAATGCAAAAATACTGTTTTCAATCCATAGTTACTTAAAGCTTCAGATGAGAGATCCAAGGATACTCAAGGGCCAACAGTATTTATGGAAAACCCCGAGGATAAGTGGACCTGTGCAATCCAAATCCATGTTGTTCAGAATCAACTATACAATGAGACACAGGTTAATTCTACACAATGAGACTATCATTTTTAAGTTACATATTTTTCTATAAATTATTTTATAATTAAAAAAATAGATTACATCTTTCAGGGGGGAAAAGTTCTGCTTACAAAAGGAGAGGGTTTAGTTATGTGACAGGAAGGGCAGTCTCTGCAGAAGCCCAGATCCCACATAGAACAGGCTATGGGAAGGGGAGGGGCAGGCCCACTGTAGGACACAAGGACTCCTTGCCCTGCTCTGGCCTGGCCAGTGGAGGCAGGGAGGAGCCCAGAATAACCTGCTCTTTCTTACTTTCCCTCCACCCACCAGCTTCCAGGAAAGTCTGTGCTAGACAGAGAGCCCACTGATCTGGTCAGAGTCATGCCAACCCAGGCTCTGCTGCCCATCTTGCTTCTCTGTGTTCTCCTGCTGCAAGCCCAGGGAGGGCACCTTAGGAGGAACAAGATGAAGAGTAGGTGATGGGCTGGGGGCTGGGATGGGGAGGGGGAAGGAGGAGCTGTGTCCAGCTAAGGATGACCTGGACTTGAACCTTTCAGCACATCCATCTCTGACCACAGGACTCTAAAGACTCTGGGTCCTTCCAAATCATGGCCCTTCAGCCCTCTTACTAGTGATGGGGTTGGAGGGCAACCTACATCTCTTTATTCTCCAATCTCTAAGTCCAGAGACAAATGGTGCATACAATAGTGATAGGTGTATAGAGCTGAGAGTCAGACAGTAAAACAAAGCAACTACTCTTTGATTTATGCACATATGTCACAATCAACATCCAGAGATATTTATGGGAGTAGGTCTAGAGTTAAAGGACATTGAGAAAGCAAATTTTGGGGTGTAAAGGGTCAACTTAAAATTATTACCAGATGACCAGGATAAATGACAGTGGAAGGGAAATATTACAAATGTTATTTGGGGGGAAGGGGCAGACAGTGACAAGAGGAGAGAGAGGGTTGGACAGGCAAGTTAATCTTCTCTGGACTCTGCAAATTCTGGACAGTATGGGGAGGGGTTACAGATGTCTCGATGGCTCTGAGTTCTCAGAGTCAGAGTGTAGATTCTATGGGGTAACTTCACCAAGGCCATGACTAACATGAGAGACAGGGTCCTGGCTGCAGAAGTACAAAGAGGGTCCAGATCTCAATTGGTGGAGAATGGAGATAATGAATTGAAGATACTATCAATCACCAGGATTTGGTGAGGGGCAGAAAGTGAGATCCCTAAAAAGTCTAAGAATGTCATGAGTGGAATGTGTCTTGGGTCTTGAAGGAGGCTGTTCATTTTCAAAGGGTGCTCTGTGGGAGTGTGGGGGGTGTCTATTGACCTTGCTTCTGCTGTTTCAGGTATGCCACTGCCACCCAAAGAAATCCAGATCTGTGAGAAGAGATTCAAGATACATTTGTGCAGAAGCACCTGTACAGAAGACAGAGACTGTCAAGCAAATAACATGTGCTGTTTAAGCTTCTGTGGGAGAATTTGCATGAACATTCTCTGAGTGGGAGAGGGGGCTGGGCTGTGCATCCTGCTCCCCCAGCCCTCCATTTAAAACCAAAGAACAAAGACCTCAAATCTCAAGCACAGAACAGTCAATAGCAATACTACCCTCCTGTCTGTATGGCTTGTTTCTGGCAAACAAACCAGAGCAATTGCCCTAGAACCTGCCTATTTTTTCCCTAGTGCTTGTGATCATTGAGAACCCAGTGCAGACTCCAGCACGCCCCCACCTTTCTGGGTCCTGGTCCCTGGTCCCTCTCCCCTTGTCTTCTCTATTCTCTCGCTCTTTGGCCCATGCACTCCTGCATGGATCAGCTCTCTCGTTGCTCTGCTCACTGAACCAGTACTCCCAGGGGAAGAAACTGCTCATGGGTGGCATCCCCTAGTGCTAAAAAAAACAAAACAAAAAAAAAAACAGTCTCACCCTGGAGTCACAAAGGCCAAGTTAACCATAAGCAAGACAGAGGCTAAACCCTCGGGCACAGTGTCTGAGGCCCCCAAGAAGACCTTTTATTTAACTTGCCCCAACCCTGTCCCTTTCTTCTCCCTCTCCTTGTAAAAATCAAGTAACTCTCTCTTTATAATGAAGAAAACGAATCCCGGAGTAGTTAAGTGACATACCCAAGGCCAAAGAGAGTGACAGGCCATTCACCATACGTCTAGAGAAGTGTATTTCCTCTGAGCTCCCTATTTGCTCACTTTTTTTTTTTAAAGTCTTTATTGTTGAAAGTATTATATATCTCCCCTTTTTCCCATGGACCCCTTCTAGCCTGCCCCGCACTTTCACCACCCTACTGTCTGTGTCCATTGGTTATGCATATATGCATACAAGTTCTTTGGTTGATCTCTCCCCACCCACCCACTCATCCCCACCTTCCCTCTGATATTTGACAGTCTGTTCCATGCTTCTATGTCACTGGACCTATTTTATTCAACAGTTTATTTTGTTCATTAGATTCCATCTATGAATGAGATCGTGTGATACTTGTCTTTCTCTGACTGGCTTATTTCGCTTAGCATGATACTCTCCAGGTCCCTCCATGCTGTCTCAAAGAGTAAGACATCCTACTTTTTTACTGCAGCACAGTATTCCATGTTGTATATGTACCACAGCTTTCTTTATCCACTCATCTACTGATGGCGCTGGAGCTAGCTCCAGGAACTGAGTCCTGTGTGGCCAATCGGGATTTGGCATCAAGTGTGGAGAACTCAGGCAGGCAGCCCATGCTAAAGGCAGGTGTGCAGTGTGACACTCCAGTCCAGTGCTTCCTGATGGGCACCAATGCAGGAGACATCAGAGGAGGAAATCGGCCTCCATCAGGCCAGAGCCTCTGACCCACCTCAGAAGCATCACAGGGCTCCTGGTATTAAGGATCTTCTCCATCTGTATTAAGAGCTGCTCTTGGGCAAGGGGGCCTTGGGAAAGAGGTCATGACCAACCACCAGCACAGACATCACCGGAGTGGGTAGGTGGTAAGGGATACTCTACAGAAATTCTTATTTGGTTCTTTCTCAGATAACCTCACTCTCCAAGCATCTTCCCAGTGCTTGGCCATGCCTCAAACACCCTTGGAGAGACTATTAAGAGAGGCACGATTACCTCCCAGGGCTCACATAACAAATGTCCAAGTCCAGAGCTCCTATCATGTGGAACACAATGGGTGCCAGGCTCACCTATTCTGTGCCCCTGGTGTGAGCACCATGTACCATGAATTATACTGGAACCAGTTGTTCTTCTTCCTTGTGATAACTGGTGCCCTGACCTGTGTTCCAGAGAGTTCTCTGGACATGTCACCCTACTGCATGGAACTCAGAGACTATACCTGGAAATCACTGCCTGTTTGTCTTATTAGAACAACTGTGTGCCTCCGTGTTAGGCAGAGTGAAGAGTGAGAACCTAGAAGACCTTGAATCTTGTGAAGGCAGAGGGAAGCAAATGCATGTCATAATCTGGATCAGCATACTATTAAATCTCAGCCTTCAGAGCACTTAGTCTCATGGTTTCCATGGGTTTTGCATTATTTGCTCCCTTCTCATGCTCTAGACATGCTCAATTCAGATAGGAGTACTCTAGAAGATTAGCCTATCAGTAATAAGGTAATCAGATGGGGAAGGAAGTGTTGGAAGCTTCTGTACACTGTAGAATAAGAGCCATTTAGTGGCTTTAATAAGGTAATCAAGAGTAGTGGATTAGAGTAGAAAAAAGCCAACAGCCATTGTTGCTAAGTGAGTTTATTTGTCAAGAATTTGCTCCTGCCCAGCCCTCAGTGAGAATTGACTGGTGTCCTGGGTAAGAGGTTATGGTTTTAGCTACTCGTCATCGATTTGCTGTAAGAGAGAAAGGGTAGATGTTAAGAGTCTATAAAGCTCTGAGAAATAAGTATTTATCCCCAAGCTTAATATTACCCATCCACCAGAACATGGGGCAGACATACTTTTGTAACAATAGGAATTGTGCACTCCAGAGTGGGTAGGAAGTGTGGTATTAGTTGATTGAACAGAGAAGGGTAGAAATGTGAGTCCTGGCTGAGACAAAGGGCTCACTGAAAGGCCTGGCTATGGAGGCAATGGTTAGAAATCTGGATGAGCCCTAGCTGGTTTTGCTCAGTGGCTAGATCATTGGCCTGTGGACCAAAGAGTCCCAGGTTCAATTCTGGTCAAGAGCATGTACTTGGGTTGCAGACTCCTACCAGCCTGGGTCCTCGTCAGGGTTCATGCAGGAGACAACCAATCAATGTGTTTCTCTCATATTGATGTTTTTCTCTGTCTTTCCCTCTCTTCCACTCTCCCCAAAAATCAATGGAAAAATACCCTCAGGTGAGGATTAACAACAACAAAAGAAATCTGTATGAAAATTAGGATAAAAAGCAAACTGTTGCATAATATACTGAGAGCACAGGCATTGCTTATATAATGAGAGAAGCAATGTGTCCCAACCTGATGTCTTGGTTTATTTGCTAGTGAATTGCTTTCCAGGTGTAGGAGATATTTTCTTCTGCTACTTTTATGCCTAAGGTTTGGGGTACATCAGTCCTCTCTTTAGGAATAACAGCATCAATAAAAACATCTTCCAACTCACTGCAATTCTCCAACAGATGTTTCCACAATAGGTCCAGCAGCATGTGTAATTTACCATTAGACAAAAGAAGTTTCTGGAACACTTCAGGGCACAGTCCACTTCTTTTGGTTCTCCCCAGCACGCCGCAATTGATGCTTCTGGTCCTAAAATTGAGATGGAACTGTAAGAGTTAGCAAGCATGGAAAGAGAAGCCCTTCATAAGCTTAACAACCCTTCTGAGAATCCAAGCTCAAGTTCCTAACGAGGTATCTAAGGTACCTGCCTTAAAAAAGAATCTCCTTCCTAACCCGCCTCATTGCATCTTTACCAATAGGCTTGCCTTCTCTGCTCCCACCGGCCCTGTATTGCAGCTCTCTGGACCCTCTTTGAGCATCCTAGAGATAGGACTCAGTGTACTTTCAGTCTGTATGTGTTCTCCTATAAAATCTGTAACAGAAGATCTCACGGCCTGAGATACCCACTAGCCTCATTTTATTTCATAATGTGAGAAGCTAGACCAGAGAGAGTAAAGAGCAGATTCTTTCCTTTTTTCTTCCCCTCCTTGCTGACCCTCTGACTTTAATAACTCAGCCCCTCTTCAAATTATTTTCTCTCACTCGATTTTTCGGTCTCCTCCATTGATTTATCTTTCTTATTATATGACACCCCTCCCCAACTTTGCCTTACTAAGGACTCATTTCATGTCTCTTTTCTATTTTTTTTTTCAAATTCTGAAAGATCCTATCACTAAAGAAATATCCATTTGGTACTACTCATGAAAGTACACACAGCTAGGACACAGAGCTTCTGAAAGTATGGGAAGATATAGCAACTCTGTATTGGTGCTCCCTCCTCACAGTTAGCCTGAAAGGGGAAACAGTATATCCTCTAACCTATGGAATATGTATAAAAGTGGGCAGATACTCATTGATGCTTTCAAGGTCGGAAGAGGAAGCATGAAAGGACCTCAGCTTGGAAATGTCTTAGAACTCTGTGCATGAAAACATTGTGATTCTCTAAATCATGACCCAGGGAAGGTAGGAACTGAATCAAACACAATAATACCCCTTTACTTGTCCAGAAACAAACACAACAATCCCCCACCCTTTGTCTCCAACACAGCCTCATCACCCCAGTCCCTATAAGGGACTCTTAAAACCTTTACTTGGTTTCGCAATGCCTCCCAGCACAGACGGTAGCATCATACACAGGAATGCCATGAGTAGAGGTGTCCAGAACTTCATGATGCTGACCATACTTGTCTGAATATAGATTGTCAGGGATTTTTTTCCTTGTCAGTTGCTGTGAGAGATCAGGAGATATAAATAAAGTTGTAAAGCAAGAGGCAGTGCTTATCAAATTTTTTTACACTTTGTCTTCTAATTATTCCCCTTTGTCCTCTACCCATCCAACCACAGGTATACATGTCAGCTAAGCACTGCTAAAAGGCCATCTCACACTCTGCCTTCCTGTGCAGAAAAAAAAAAAAATTACAAATGTGTTGCCTTTCCTTAAGTTAAAAATCATTCAAATTTAGCATATAAAATCTTAAAACACTAGGAAAATACAAAGGAGACTGTAGAGGGCTGCCTGGGAAGGCATATGGGCATTTCTTTAAATTGTCAGTTGAGTCCAAGATGACTAGCAGAACCGCGTCATGGATACACATTTCCCCAAGATGGCCAACAGTGTAATCAGCTTGGCCTTCATATCAGCCTAGGTGTCAGCAGGGGCAGGACTGGATATGTAAATCCAGGCATGCTAAGGCCTACTTAAGAATGCAAATAAGTTGGTGATAACTTCCTGGTTTGGGGGTATAAAATAAATGTGCTGGGAGGGGTCAGATCGTCACCGTCGCTGTCTCTCTCCATCAGAGAGAATGGCATCCCACCCAGCTCCCAGCTTTAAATCTATTTCTGTGTCTTCTTTCTTTCTTCCTATTATTTCTCAATCCTTGGCCGCCTCCACTTAGAACCAGTTCGTTCATCTCTCTTTCTGTGCTGGACACAAAAAGGGGAAATCACCGCCATATCTGGCCCCCACAGGAGACAATCAGATAGTTCCAGTAATCCCACTATATTGACATATGTTATTTTGGAGATATATATATCATATATATATATATGATGTACCCCAAACCTCAGTTTTTTTTAAAAAACTGAATTCATATCAGGCTTGCTATTATATATCTTGATTTTTATTTAAAAAGTTGTAACATGACTTAAAATGAAAGTTTTGGCCAAGACCTGTGAGACAAATCAACTTGTAGAACTTTTGAAAAGTGAGAGAAAGATGGTCTAAAAGAAGTTAAGGGACTCATAAAACCTTTACTTGTTTTGTCAGAAATTTGACATATTGTTGGAGGAGATCTCTGGGCATATTTTCTTTAAAGAATATTGTACTCTCTTAATTACAAATCACCAAAAAGGCTTGAATGATACCTCCCACTGAATTTTCTATGTGGCCCAAGAGTTTTTGGAGACAGAGTAGACAGGTGTCTGAGTCACACTTGAGAACACAAAGGCCTAAGAGGCTGGCTGAAGTTACTTATGGCTATAAGAAAGAGGCTACAGCTTGCACTAATTTGACAGGCAAATGCAAGAAAGCCAGTATGGACTTGTGCCAGATTATCCCAGGCATACTGCCTGGGAGGGCCATGTGACCTTAGCAGAAGGAAATAGAAAGTAAATGGCCAGATCCACTCACAATAGACCATCCAGAAAGAACTGTCTACATTCCCTTACTTTTTTTTCCCCTCTTCCATCTCCAAAATGGCACTTAGCCAACTGTAGGAGAAGAGAGAGAGTGGGAACTAACCACTCTCTTCCCCAAATTCAGATTTCTAGATGTGGAGGAAACCCATAATTTTAATGCAAGCTGAGTGTTTTGACTATTGCATAGGCTTAGGCTTTTATATATGCTGTAAATTTAGGCAGTGTCTAAAAAAGTCGAGTTTTATACCCAAGCTCTTCTACAGAGGCAGGGAAAGAAGTATCTCTTCTGAATAAATTTGAGACAAAGAACAAGTCTCCCATGAATATTTTCACAACATAATATGCATATGTATATCATTTATATTTTCCCATTAATCATAAGACACCTAACAATTTATAATTTCTCTTCCCTATGGGAAAAATTTAATGTCATTGGGAGCTTTCTTGCCAATAAAATTTGGTTAAATGCAAATTTGTCAATCTGGAAGTCCTGGGAAAATGATACTGCCTATCTTGAACCCTAGATAGTTGTTACCAGTTCTTCCTCCATTGAAATTGGTTTATTCTACCAATAGAATACACATCTTATCTCACCATAGAAGGAAAATTCTTCCCCACTTGTTACCACACTGAAGACTGTCAGGATAGTAAAAGACAAAGAACAAAATGTGGGCACTGGAGTTGGAGAGACCTGGGCTTGAAACCAAACCCCAACACATTTAGTTTAATATGAGTTACTAGAGGCCTGGTTCATGAAATTTGTGTATGGGGGAGGGAGTGTCCTTCAGCCCGGCCTGTACCGTCTCCAATCTAGGACCCCTCAGGAGATGTCCAACTGCCGGTTTAGTTCCGATCCCACAGGGCAGTTAGACATCCCTCTCACAATCAGCCACCACTGGCTCCTATCCACTTGCCTGCCTGCCTACCTGATTGTCTCTAATTGATTCTGCCTGCCTGCTTAATTGCCCCTAACCACTCCCCTGTCAGCCAGATTGATGCCTAACTGCTTCCCTGCAGCCTGATCACCCACAACTGCCCTTTCCTGCTGTGACCCACCTCCTGTACCAGGACCCACCTCCTCTGCACCACGTGGAGCCACAGGACTCCCAGGCCTCACCACAAGGAGCAGCTGCCAGACCCCACCTCCACTGTATGCATGGCCATCTTGTGGCAGCCATCTTTGTGATGGCCGTCTTGTGACAACATTGCACACAAGCACCACCTAGACTTTTATTAGTATAGATGATTGGTCAAACACTTAATTTCTCAGAACCTCAGTTTTCCCCATCTGTAATGTGGGGGTGACATCAGTATCCACATTGCAAAAATTGAATATATGAAGCACTGTACATATGACTTGACACACAGAATATATAAAATAAATGTTGGCTATTATTATTATTAAACTTAGTCTCTTTTCTTCTACAGAATAGTGGAAGTCATTTTATTTCATTGACTTAATTGTGGTCATTTTTTAAAACGGTTTAACTTATTTGGAATTAAGTCTGCTGAATGAGTGATATTTTATCTTTTTTTCATCTGTCCTAAATTTATTTGCCTCACAAATACTTCTGCAAAGTTACTACTATTCTAAGGACTAAGAATACAGTAATGAGCCGAAACCGCTTTGGCTCAGTGGTAGAGTGTCAGTCTGTGGACTGAAAGGTCCCAGATTCGATTCGGGTCAGGGGCATGTGCTTTGGTTGCGGGCATATCCCCAGTGGGGGTGTGCAGGAGGCAGCTGGTCGATGTTTCTCTCTCATCGACGTTTCTAGCTCTCTATCTCTCTCCCTTCCTCTCTGTAAAAAATCAATAAAATATTTTTTTTAAGAATACAGTAATGAACAAAGGCAGCAAAAATAAAAAACAAAAAAACAAAACAAAAAAAAACCTTCAAAGAGCTTATATTCTAGGAAAGGGGACACCAATAAACAAGATACATCAAAGAAATACACAATAAAGGACAGATATCAGTGTGAAGGAGAAAAAATAAGAGAGGGTCTAGGACTTAAAACAATATGCAAAATAACTAATGGCTATTATTTTAGGCAGCTCACTGGTGATAAGAGGTGGGGTTCTGGAGCAGGTGGCTGAGTAGTGTTCAAAACAATCCCTTTCCTTGCCCAACTGGCGTGGCTCCATAGTTGAGTGTCAAGCCATGAACAAAGAGGTCACTGGTTCCAGTCCCAGTCAGGGCACATGCCCAGGTTTTGGGCTCAATCCCCAGTAGGGGCATGCAGGAAGCAACCGATCAATGATTCTCTCTCATCATTGATGTTATATATATGATTTTTTTTTTACAGAGAGAAAGGGAAAGAAATAGGAAGTTAGAAACATCGATCAGCTGCCTTCTGCTCACCCCCCACTGGGGATGTACCTGCAACCAAGGTATATGCCCTTGACGGGAATCAAAACTGGGACCCTTCAGTCTGCAGGCCGACGCTCTATCCACTGAGCCAAACCGGTTAGGACTCATCATTGATTTTCTATCTCTCACTTTCTCTCCCTTTCCTCTCTCTCTAAAAAATCTATAAAAACATATTCTAAATAAATTCTTTCCCCAGTTCTCTCTCACTCCCAACCTGGTGCTTCACATGACTAAGCCAAACAGAAAGAAAGAAAAGAAGCAAAGACAAAGAAGTCTGGACACTATGAGTAATACAGTCACAATGGAGTAATTGTCTTTCCCTGCAAGGGACCCGTTTTCTCCCCAAGTCTTTATTTTTGCTTTGGTGTTTTCAAACAAGCAGATGAAACCTACATGCGTTGGTTGAAATCCCCCCAAATGCTCAAAAGCAGGCACATTACCTGGAGACATTTTAAAAGGTTCAAAACTCTTTAGAAAGGCTAAACTCTCTGTCTCTCTCTCTTTTCTCTCTCTTCTTGCCCCCCCCCACTCCCTTCCTCCCACTCTCTCTAAGAATCAATGGAAATAATATCCTCAGGTGAGGATTAACTTTTAAAAAGGAAAGTCATCCAACCAAGCCACAAACAAGAGAGTTTGCAGGCTTATACTTCCAGCCCCAGTACTCTGATACCCACCTACCTCTGAGGATGTCCAAATCTGAAATGCTGTTGATTGTGTCACCATCAGTTCTTCCTGTCCTCTGGGAAGGGTTTGGACAATGAGCAGAACAGATTTCAAAGATTTAGATTGTAATCATGGTTATGATTGTAGCAGAGCCATGAGTTCTGCCCCAGGCTATAAACTGGACGCGTACAGGCGGTCACTGAATCCCTATTCAAGGAGTATTTGTTTCTTGCTTTTTGTTGCAGGTAACATAGGCAGAAGCAGAGCACTGTGGAATTGCAGGAGCTTCCCCTTCCCCAACACATACATTTCCTGGAGGCCTGGGTGATTGTGGAGGTGGGGGAGGATCTGTATATCTATTTTCCTCCAACATTTGTGTGATGACTTTTGTGAGGTCCCAACCATCTCTAGATTAATTTCTCAACTGCTGGCATCAACCTAACACTACATTATCAATGACTTGAGCCTTTTGGGCTGGTAAAAAGAGAGAGCTCTACCAAGAGAGCTTGGA